TTTTTTTCTTGTGCATTTTTTTTCCAATTCTGGTATCGACCCCAGAGTTTCTAATGGTCCACCCCTAGTTCACTCATACTCGCGTGCCTGTCTATTTTTTTTCAAAGGAACAGATATTCTTTTTCTCACGACATCTGAGCCTAGTAGTTCGATGGATCGGTCAGAAATAATAAAAATACAATAGACGAGATTTATAGTTGAGAACGCCTGTAGTTGAGGTACAATTGTAGACAATTTATCTGTCAACCCAAACATCATACGTACTGGGGTGAGTTAACGGGTTCTGCTGAACCCCCACACGGAGAATACCACACGCATTTAATTTTATATACTAGTATTAATAGGAACAATGGATCAGAGTCGGTTTGAGCGCAATACGAATGAAGTACAAATGGGATACATACGTTGTTGTTGATATTGACAGTTGTGACTAAATGACCGTTTTCACAAAAGTTGTTTCGTGTTTATAAGTGTAATATCACAATAATAAACAAATTCATCGGTAGATGTATTGAAAATCAATCGGCATTATTTTCAAATTGACATTTGGGTTAGTTTTTCTAGTGTCTTTGGTTTAACCTTTGTTTATTTATTGTTGATATTTAAATTTGTACATGTGTTCCTTTCATTTCATTTTTTACACATATAAATCTAAGAGTATTGTATTGTAGTTGATAGTTTTTTTCGGTATCATTTATAAATTTTGACTTAATGTACATTATGGATAATTTCGGATATTAATGTCTGTCATAGGAGAATACACTCTTCAGACAGTGTTTGCACATAACGACGTTTCATCATAGTGCTTTAACTGAAAGAGAAACAAACCTGGACAAATGTTTTCAAGGACGTGGTGTCTTTGTTGAACTGTCGCCAGTGGGGGTCGTGATGGTGTTTCACACAGACACACGCGAGACTCAAAAACAGCAAAACATGTATGAATTGTGATTTGTTTATTTCTCTGGCATAAAGAGACGATGTTTTCCTAGCCCCGTACACCGAGTGTATTTTGCCCCAAGGCAAGCATTGAAACATCGACAATTGCTCGTAAAACAACCATGTTGTTATCATATGAGGTCAAGTGCGGAATCTCTTTTAAAAACTACAAATACTCTTCCTTGACCGAATTATTTCTACTCATGATGAATACCAACGCAACTTTTCTGGTTATTTGGGGTTCCTCGAGGTGAGGGTGGGGTAAATTTTTGACCTGTATAGAGAAGAATTTGAAAACAAACATCCACTGAAAAGTTAAAAAAAATAAATCAAGCACGAAACTAGTGCACATTTTTTCTGATGATCAACCCTCTATGCTGATACGTTGAAGCGTGGATCGAACATCAAATTGCCTAAACTTGAAAAAAAATCGTCCAGAGCCTGTTCGGCGAAGAGCGAGTGTTACACGCTATATACAAGGTATATGGTGAAATACTTTCATGGTAACTCTGTTCAACTGCTTTGATGCTGCATTGCCCCAGCAAAGTTAACATGATTCAGAAAACATTGATATAAGACTTCATCGGCATAAACTGCAATGAAACATCTATCATAAAAGTTGTAGACGAAAACAAACAAACATAACACGTGCTCACATAGATACGACTTCCGGTAATGAGTACTGTATTGGGACAGAAATAGTGTGGACGTTCACATAATCTAACCCCCCTAGTTCATCCGTGATTTCATCCGTTATTCTCTAGATTTCTTCAATTTTACTACAAAAATCGCCGACGAGCTGTCAACCTGGTTGTCATTACCAGCTGCAAACTAACAAATCACACTTACTTGTAGCGTAAGGACTTTTGTAACACTGTCGCGAGAACGATGACGTGAACTACTAGTATGTTTGACGATAGACCGCCATGAACTCCGCGGTCTGTCTCCAATTGTGTATAACCGCCTCGGTCAGTGGCTCCGTTAGCTTAACGCGCTTAACTGACCGAGATTCAAAGTGGGTCAATCGTAAGTGACGTAATTTGAACGACAAGTTAGTACGTGTTATTACAGTGATAATCCAGAAAATGTAAAGGCAATTATATACAAATTTGAGTATTTTGTTCAGCGTGTCTGTCCGTCTGTCCGCCTATTTGTCCGTCCGTCCGTCCATTGCCACGAGAGACATGAGTAGTAGTATCCCAACTGACTCTCAGACCGCCATACCATTTATTTATTGAAATGAATGATACATGAACTGATTCTAGTTTCCCCAACTTGTAAGACATACATAAATTTGGGATTTTTGTTGTTTGCTTTGAATATGATAGCACATGTAAACTTGTTGTGAGCAGAACTGGTGCAGAAACTGTCTAGATATGTCCAATGACATACAATAATAATAATAATAATAACTTTATTACGCAACTTAACCATCTGTGGGTTTAGTAAGGTAAAAAATGATTACAAAAGACAAATAAAATAAGACACACTAAAACACTAAAATTAAAATACACTGAAATTCAACAAAAGAAAGAAATAAAAATTAGAAAATTTCTGAAAAAATGATTAAACAGCAGCAAGGTTCTTCCAGACCACAGTTACATATTTAACTTTTAGAAAATTGTATTTTTTAAATAATATGACAAAGCCATATTATTTCCCATTATTTTCACGAAGCTCTCCATTCTGGACAACTCATTAATTTTTATTTTAAAATACTTCAAGACATGTTTTCTCTCTACTTCATAGAAATTGAAATCTAACATGAAATGCATTTCATCTTCAATTTGATCTGAATTGCACTTTTTGCAAGTTCTTTCATTTTCTGGGTTTTTTGGTTTACTCTTTCTTTAATGGTGGTTACATGCGCATGCGCATATCATATACACCATCGATGATACTGGCCACTGGTCACAATGTTAATAATATGTATATACCATGTAGCGTGCACACGTTGCACATATAGATCTGATGATTTCCACATTGGTCACCATCGTGCTCACTGTCCGATTTTGTGCAGTCACACGCCAATAGATTAAAGCGGGAGGGTCGTCAACTGCGCACGAGCGGGAATTGAGTCCCAAGCGACGATAACAACACACGTTAAACATGGATAGACGCTTGTTTGTAAACATTGACACGCTATGGCCATCTGACGCATGTGCAGGTGACGACTCTCCGCTTTAAAGCCGTGTTCTAATTTCACGTAAACAAACAATGTAATTTACACGCGTTGTGTACGCCAGTATGAGTCCTATATCGATCAGGACGTTGCGCGATGACCGCCGTCCTTTAAGTTCACTTCAACTATTGTTCACTTCAACTATGCTCTTCTGTCACAATCTCAATGTACTGAACACGGAGCCAAACCGGGCATTGGTCCACTATGACATATAATGGGCAATGCGCAATTAATTTCACTATGTTACACTGCAAAAGGATTAATTATTCACTGGGTTTTAATTTTGCTTATTTCACTGACTGGAAAATGCGCTAAATTAAAACCCAGTGAATATGTAAAATTTAGCATAGAACACATTATCTAAATGATAAAACCGTGAATTTAAAACACACTGAATATGCCTGAAATGGTAAATCAGTGAAATTTAAACCCAGTAAAAATTAGTCATTTCACAGTAGTTAGATACTGACTATACTCGAGTGATTGTAAGGTCGTAACAGCAAGTGAATCGTTATTAATATGTTACGCGATGCGGTACATACTCCGATGAACAGGTCGTGCCAGGCATCTGTCATGTTACAATTGTCGTTTCTTTGGCTGTTGTCGTGCAACCATCGGTATTTAGATCGATGACCGCTTTAACCGTCTGATTGTCGAATGTGTCCCCCGTGGAGAACGCTATTGTTCGTCTTTTTCACTTTGGTGTTCTTCTATTATCTGAGAAATGTGATTGGCCTATTCCGCGAAGCACGTACACGCGTGGTGACGTCAATTGGTCAAATGATTTTAACCGTCGTTTGTAGTTTATAAAAACAAAATTATCTTTAAATGTTGCCATCATCAGGATATTACAAGTATCTACACCGATAAGTATCTGTTTAAAACACTAAATCGGAATTCACGTAGTAGGACATCTCCGCGTTCAATTGATTTTTTTTTATAAAATTCTGACGCACGTTGTCATTTGACAAGATTTAAATTTATCTTTGACGCTCCCATAAGTATTTGCTATGTTTCATGTTTCACTGACAGAACTACGTAAATGCATGACACGCCGCGCCGTTCATATATACCAATACTAACAGAGCACACTCTAAACCCAGGGTAAACACAGCTAGCAAATATCAGAATGGAGCTGTCCCCCTATTGGTAGTACCCTATTGGCAGCATTTTAACAATTTGCCGCCTCTCAGATGAACCTACCCTTCCCGAGATGGACTGCAATAAATTGAGATGTGCATTTCTGTAAAGAGAAAACCCAAACCCCATCGTATGGTTATCACGTGAAATGTATTATATTTGGCTTCAATTTCAACAGCAGACGATTACGGTAAAGTTCACATTGGCTTTTTCACCATTCACATCCAAGCACACTATCAGGTGTGCACTGACGTCATACCCATGTTTGTTTTCGTGATGCATGGTACAGGGCGGACAGTCTAACAATGATAGCGGCCGGGCAAATACAGGAGCGCGTCAATAACAACCACTTACAAATTATCGATCCGGGCTTTTAAGGAAAACAAATTACAACAGTTATTGTAAACCGAGCCACAACCGTATATAACCAAGCGCAGGAAGCGTGTTTGCCCGAACTGAACTGGTCGTTGAGGAAAGAATGCCGTTTAGGATTCGAGTGCGATAGCTGCTTCGCAACCCTGATATACACAGGTAATTGCATACGTCCTGCAGCCAGCGTGACGGCGACTTAATTATTTTGTCTTTCAGGTAAGCTCGGCAGTATTGGTTTGAAACGTGCGTTAGTCCATCATTCCACGTCGTACGTAGTTAATCACCGGTATTCGCTCGCGGGGTATGCGTTGTTTAGAGCGGAAACTACGTAGTACATTGTATTAACGTATGTCGAAGGGATATAAAAGCCTTAAAATTGTGCTACCTTGTTGACAAACACCTGACTACGTATCATTGCGTTATATCGGAAGTGCATTTAACTGTAAGTTGTCTTGGTTTAACGTTAGCCGCGTGTTATTGATTTTATGAGCAATTGCGTTAAAAACAATATTTTCTGCAAGAGTGCGTATCCCATAACTGGTAGTCCACGCCACGGACAAATACGAGGGGATTCTCCATATGCGCGTCGTCAAAGTCACGAAATTACAATTTGGGAATGCCTTCTCGGTACATTGGAAGTCGGTCGATGTGTAGACTAATATTTGAGTTATTACGTTTTTATTCCCGTTCAGACGAGTCCGAAAACGGGGACTATTAATTTGGATTCCGTCTGCCCGCTCTTCTTCACTTAAAGACAGTGTATGGCGAGTTTAATACATATGCACGCTGATTATCTTTGTCATTCGGTCTGTCATTTGTTTTACATTTTGATGACGTTTGACCGACTGGTGGCCATTTTTGTCGCACACTTTGGTCTCGCATGTCCTCGGCCTTGCCTGGGTCGGATTGTCACAGTCGCTAAAATATTGAAACTGAATGGGACTATGTCATTGACTTGTTTGAATACAATTTCACGTTAAAGGGCGGTGGTCGCCGCACTGCGCATGTGCAACATTTGTGTTGATAAATATTGATTTTCCCACAATCCAACGCGTTCTTCCAATGAAATCATCAGTATGAGTTTTGACCTGGGCGTGACTTGCACTAATTACGGCCGATGACTTCTTCGATACCTTTCAATCGCCAAAAAAATTACCTAATTAAGACTTGGTGGCCTTTTCAGTTTGCATTCGTTGGTCTGCGAAACAGTCGAAGCCACCATCTTTGTTTATATGAGACCCCTATCTCGCGCATGCGTGCAATACAACTATGCTAGAATGTATCGTATACTACCATGGCGGTCATTTTGTATATCGGACCACTCTCACCGTGACGACAAATCTTCGGCGTTATAATATTCTGCATACAAATTCAACGACAGCAAATTTGAACTGGTGAGTGGTAACTAAGTGGCCACCTGATAGCTTTATACCAGACCGTTAATGGTAAACACATTTTAAATCCTGGTTCACTGGTATTGGTAACATCATCTGTTGTTTTTTGTGGCATTTTCTGAAAACAAAAATAGGTTCTTCCGGGATAAATATTTTATAAATAATCATAAAAGCCGTTAATGCCTCCGACAAGACTAAAGTAAAATTAAATATCTCTTAAAAATAAATCCATACTAAGCTTGGATGCGAATTAACAAAACCATCTAATTCCATATATGGAAGTTATTCGCAGCTCAATCTCTCAATAAATAAATAAATATAATACTATAAATATACTACTCTACGTGAAACACTTGGTGACAGTCGCTTTTGAGGATGTATATTCAAATATACGAATAAAACGAAAATGAATTATCGGTGACCCCGGCGACCTTAAAAACAGCGTCTTATATTGATGACCTTGGAATCGTTCTCATATAAGACACTGCGTATATCAAAATTTGATTATTTTCCGCTGGATATAAATGGTCTTTGTCTCCAAAGTGATATGCGCTTCGGTAATCAAATCGTTCGTCGAGCCACGCGAGGGGCAGACGTTAGTGCATGGCAACAGGTGGTTGTTTGTTCGTTGCTATAACTTGTTTGTCATGAGAATTGAAGGGTGGACTTGGGGGATTATGGGATGCACACTGTGTATATAATGGCCTTACTGTGCAACTTTTCAGGAATATAGTAAAATTTTCAAATTTCTTAAGTGTGCCTGGAACGGTTGCCTTCTAGGGCAACTTTGCGATGAATGAACCGTGTGTACACTACTACAGTCGATAATATCTTGTTTCAAAATTCACACTCGTTGTTATGTCAACCGGTGATATCTCAATTACAGTTTTGTCGAATTCAAATTTTGTCGATGAATAACATTAACCGCAGATTTTTCCTATTTATATTGTATTTTAACCAAAAATATCTTCAATATTGGGCCCTGAAATTGCTCAACGGTGTAACTGTTATCAGATATAAACTCTCAGAGTTGAACTCTCGCCCTGTATTTGTGCGATAACGGCGCCAATCAACGCAAATCGCCCTCGCTTATCCACAATCCCTCTATCATAGATTGACTGTGGCTTATCGGACTAATTAATTACATTACTGGCCAAGGACAAGGCCATTATTGGCTCGGATCCAAATCTGTAAAACCAACACCGTTATCCAGGTGAGAGCTGAGAACTCTGATTTGAAGGCGTACATTTTACACCAATGTGTGTTTTATTTAGTGTTTTTATCACGGCTGTCTTAAATCGGTCAATGTGCGTTCTAGAATTTCCAAGGATACTGTGCTGTAACCTGGTTATAGTAACTATAGCTACCTAGATATGCCAGTGCATGTATGAGTATGTACGATGCCATTGGTGGTTTGGCATCAAAATTAGGCATATGTTTGACGTGAAAACAGGAGATTAGAAATAAGACCCCCGTAAAAATAATGAACGGCGTTTCCTAACTTGTACCATTTCTCATACACAGAGAGGCCGGCATTATCTCAATGTTTGAAGTCGTATTTAACTTTATGTTACAATCGAATGTACCACGGGTACGTCTCCTCTGCTAAATGTTATCGACGTAAACCAAAGGTTGGTGCTGTCTGCTACACGTTTTCGGTGTACACCAAATGATTGACGTTCAGACCAAGGCATGGTGCATACAGAGGGTATGTTTATTCACAACAAACGCTCATAAAACTAACGACAATTTGCGTTGATACCGAGTCGTAATCGTACTTTTCGGTGATACATACTAATGTCGGATTTGGGCCGTCCGCAGCACCAGATGTGTTGTCACGGTATTTTTCGATTAACTTAATCTAGTACGCAATAAGGGAGATTAACTCGGATTAATTTTATAAAAAAAAAATAAACAGCTCAAACTTACATATCCACATGAGTAAACAGCGTTGAAGTAAATACACCATACCTCTCAACGCTGCAATGACAACGACTCGAGCAAATTAAGTGCGGAGATTTGTTGTCATGGAAACAATGAAACAAATACTTGGGTGGTGCAGTTAAAATAGATTTTAAGATTGAAATGTTAATCTAGTTCGAGCGTGATTGACTTTGAATTCATTCGCATATTAGTATTTTATTCCAAATATTGAACAAGAAGTTACCTAAACGTCACATTTAAACTGTACTAAGTTCACCCAAATGTCCACACTTTCAGTGAATTTAGAAATTTTGTGTTAATTTCGGTATATTTTGAATATTGAAATTAATACATTTCGGGGGAAAATAATATTTTGACGAAAATACATAAATACATTTATTTACCATTTACTGAATATATCCGTCCTTGTTACAGAAATAAAAGGACATGCTGAAACAATAATTTCATAACATGAGGGGAAAAAACAACAGTTCAGGGATCATTCAAGAATCGAATTCAGTGTTTCTCGTTATCTTTTCTATTCAAATATTGGTAATTTTAAACAAAAAAAGCTAAACTCGCTTTTCTTCAATGTAAATTAAATATCACGTACAATACACGTACGATGAATGGCGCCCTCTAGCGACGAGCCACATCTGTGACGTGCATGGATTTAAATACTAGTTATAAGGAATTTGCTATACTTTGAATGACTAACAACTACACAACAGACAGTTGTGGCTATTGGCTCTTTAAACGACATCATTTACACCCTGTAACGTCGTGGAAACCCTCAACAAATATCAAAATAAATTTGCTTGAAACAGGTTTTTTTTAAAAAACAACGTAGCATCACGGCTGTATACGTCAAACCTGTAAATTACTTTTAATCAATCACCGTTCTTGCTACTAAGCGGAAGACGTTTAGCGAGCAACAACAGCGTTTCACTCAACACTCTGTATTGAATATACCTCTTTGTTATGTTCGACGTGCACTTATCCACATAAAAATCACGCGGAGTGCTACAGTGACGTAAGTGTCTGCGACAGAATCTAAGGTTCACATCATATACATTTCTCTTATTGCGTGCCGTGTGACATATTCTTGAAATATAATAAAATTAAATAAAATTGTATCGCGTTTTATTGTATGCTCGATAATCGATAGTTTAATCTGCTTGCACCAATCCAGCCACTTTCTGGTGTCTATTTCCACTAACATGCGCGTACGTAATTTGCAATTGACAGTAAGTATAAATAAGGCGCATGCGCAGATACGTGGCTCCTCATTCCGTGATCAAAACAACGTTTTCAGTGAATCAATCAACATGCAGAACTCATGATATCATTGATACTATTTATCAGTGTAAAAACACCCAGAATCGTGATCCAAAGCACACCCCACATATGTCTCGCATTTTTCTTTCGCTTCATGACACAACAGCCCGCATTGAAACCGTGATAGAATGTATTTTACACGATTCGTCGCCATGGCCACCATCAACTTTCAATCTTCTTCTCTCCGTGTTGTTGACTTCGAGTTAAGAGATAAAACAACTGAACAGTGTTGTCAATGTTTCACACTCATTATCAGGCAGACATTGATAGGATAGTTGCGAACTAAACCCACGATAATACGTAAGGCTATTTTAGAGGAATAACCAGCTTCAAAAGTCAGACGAAATAGCTTGAACCCCTTTCCCGCATCTGTATCTTCAACCACAGAAAGGCGCAAAATGCCACAGAGATTCCAGTGATCTCCGTTTTCATGGAAACAAGCAGGCGCGGCTGTTTTTTTCTTCTATTAGCATTAAGTTCATCGTTGTACTGGCCGATACTCCGTAATGGATGTAATATCGTTTCTATATGTTCAAACCTATCCATTAAACGTATCGTTTATATCAAATTTGCTTTAAATTCAATTTATACAAGCGTAATTATATTACCCTTGTAGGTGTTTTCAAACGCAGTCAGTGTGTGGTTGTCATACAACGCAGCTCTGGAAATTTCGCGGTAAAAATGTTAGTACATGATTTCATTCAACTTTAGCATTATCTCTCAGTTACCGCTCAGCTATCAGCAAATTGTGCTAATCCAGTTCAAAATAAAACGAATTGTTGGCTTAAATTAAATTTTAGTGGTCTTAATGCAATTTGCCGCCGGGAGAGATGCTGTTTGGAAATATGAGTAAAGGTTTGTGTACGTGTTCAGTGACGACGTGTTGATTTCACCACGCTATGGGAGCCTTTAAAATAATAAAATTACAAATGGTGGATCATGGGTAAAATTAATGTGAAATAATTGTCTGTAGCTTCAAAGCAGAAATCGTTTATAGGTTTCACTCCACTAATAACTGTTACAGTAGACACGGTCATTCTCGTATTATAACCGTATTCGTTAATTATAATAAAAAAGAACGGAACTCATGTTGTTTAATGCGAGATTTATTGTGAATGTACTTCCGTGCCCTTGAAAAACTCTCTGAAATCCAACCAGCAAAGTATTTTTTTTTTCAAAAGGATGTTTTGATTTTACTGCCTAGTTGTGTGAGTTAGATGTCGGCAATTTTAATAAACTCCCGGATTTACGACTCACTGACTATACCTTAAGTGTTTACGACTATATATGTAAGAGAAATTACATGTGGCGTGAAAACCGTTAGATTGTTTTCAATCCGATTGCTAAATCAACCAACCACAGGAAATGTGTTGCCTTGACGACACGTTCAATAACCGAAAGGTTGAAAAGCTTTTCCAATTGGTCCGAATCTCGAGGTACGCCATGCCGCCCGCGTTTTGGCGAATCCTTTTCAGCTGTCATGGTCTACTCAACGGTAGCCATAGACATTGATATTGTTGTAGGTGTGCAAAATGGTGATCTGAACTGTGAGAAGTCACGGGAATTTGACTTTTTAAACAGGGGCGAAATAATTATCACAAATGTCACGGGATCACAGTCAAGAAATATTATATTTACATTTCAGCACTGGTTTCTATGGTGACATTATTTCTTCATATCTCGACATTTTTCTCGGTGACTTAGAAAGAAATATCAAATATTACTATTGATATGAATCCTAACATTTTGAAAACGGTCAAAAATACATTTAATTCTAGTTAGTTTTCAATGTGATTAAAATTGGTGCATTGCACATGTGTGCAGTAACATGCGCAATATTGAATTCAGGGTGAATTAATTTCGCCATAATAAGATTCTCGTGTGAAGTAGCCTAACATATCGGCGGTGTTCCCCTCATAACACACTTCACCAACGCCTAGATACAATGCTAGTCACGTTAATTGCAATCAGCGAGTGGCCATAAATTTGATTGGTGGTTAAACAATGTGTCAATCATCTGGTTCTCACGTGATTCCGGGAACTCTCTACGTGTATTTGAGATGGGTGAGTGAAGTAAGTAGAACACCCCCATCAATTCTAGACTATGTATTAAGCAGTGTCGTGAAATTAATGGTCGTCTGATGTCAGTTACTGAAATGCAGCGCGTCTGGCTTTATAAATACTGCGCATTGCCGAGTGCAGGAAGTGGCATTTACGAGGCCACAGGAAAGCAGGGTAACATTCCACCCTTATTAATTTGGTCAATATCGATGTCTCGTACTCTGATCAAGCGGAAGCTTTTAAGAAATACGCAATGATTGCGGATATGCCTATCATTTACAAATATCGCACACCAAGGAAAACCACACTGCGGTCCCATAGAATCAATACTATTGATGTCGGGTTTATGACCAACCTTATCCACAATTGAACGCAATTAAATAAACAGACCCACCCGAAATAGAACGCAATTAAATTCCGTCATGGTGAAGTTTACCGTCATTCATGTTTTAGAAACTGTGCTAAGTGATCCATTTAAAACTGTGCTAAGTGGTCTATTTAAAACTGTGCTAGGTGGTCCATATAGAATAGGTTGATAGGTTCATTAGTATCGTGGCTCATTTTAAAATCAGAACACGGAGAATTGTCAGTTCACTGTTGGGGGTTTGAAAGAAAGGGAGTGACTTATACTAACGGAACTGTAATTGGGAATATTGATTGTTCTTTAACCTGAGTTACCATTCAGGTAGGATGACGTCACAGATCTGAACGCTTTAATGAACCACAGAGGTCGTACGTAATATGTGCAACTCCTACAGTAGTACAGTATCTATTTAGTATAGCGCCTGTTTTTGCAATTTATTCCAGAATACACCGAACCAGGCTCTATGTCAACTGTCGATCGGCTCGCTCGATTTTTATGCAATTTTCTATTATTTGGTATTTTTTATTTTATTTTTTCGCAGGCAGGGATTTCCGAGTTACGGCCTTTCTTCGGATATATCGACCAAGCACGAGTTTCCCCATATAATATACCGTGTGAATCCAGAGATATCTTGTGCTGGAGTCTCTGTAATATGACAAAAACTTGATGTAATTTCACCTGTTATTTTTCCTGTTGAAAATCTTTTAAAATAGACAGATAATTTGAGCAAGGGCAACACTCCCCTTACTGAATATTAAATGAAAGCTCCCCCGGAATCAGTTTCATCCGGAAATTGAATACACATATTAAAGCGGGAGGGTCGTCACCTCCTGCGCATGCGTTAGATGTCCATAGCGTGTCATTGTTTACAAACAAGCGTCTACCCATGAGCTATTGCGTTTTTAGCGTTTGTTGTTATCGTCGATTGGGACTCAATCTCCGCGCGTGCGCAGCTGACGACCCCTCCGCTTTAATTGAATTCCTGCTCACTTTCGCTAAACGTTTGCCATTTTTTCTTTCCAGATATTAGTTTGGAGTGAATAAGCATAAATCTGGTGTGGATATTGAGTATATTAAGCTAATAACCGTAGCTAACAGTGATATTTGAAACGTATCGAATCTGTCGAACACTCTGTTCCAATGGGTTACAAGGAAAACAACGACATGCAACAGAAGAAGTACAAGGAGGCGAACCTGAAAATGGGAGAGGCGTTCAGGAGCAACAGCTTCACCGAGATAAGAAGCGCCCTTAAGGTGCGAGATGCGGATATGAACTTCAAGGACCCGTCACGCGAGGAAATGACTCCACTGATGAAACTGTGTTACACTGAGATCGGATCGAAGCACCGACGAGAACTCGCCAGGTTGATAATTGAACAACCCAAAATGGACATAAACACACAGGACGAGAAGGGAAGAACTGCTTTGGCGCATGCGTGTATTCTCGAACTTGACGATCTAGTTCGAGTGTTTTCGGAACACATCGACATTGATCCGAACATTGCCGACGATGCCGGTAATACTCCTCTGATGTATGCGACTCGGTCAGGGAATATCTCCGTTGTAGTTGCTCTTCTAAACTGTTTTAGGAAATTTGGATTGGAAGTAGACCAAGCAAACGATCTAGGTAAATATAATACGTATACATATTGTTTTGACATTTTCTTCAGATGACATACACATTCTCCGAGAATCGACTGCGGGGTATCATGGGTAGTACAGACTTCTGGTTCTGTCACGACAGATGACGGCGAGCAGCAAAAAAGACATTTTTTGTTTGTCTTGCTCTCAGCTTTCCTGAAGAACGTCTTGAATATTAAGTGAAATACAAATTGTCACCCAAAAAACATTTATGCGGTTGAACTAATAAAAACGCGTCAAACATCAAATATGTTCCAGATACTTTTGCTGCAGATTTGGCCAACTATGTTAATAATGTGATTTTGAGTAACATTTACGACAGTATTTTCAAGACATCGTCGACACTGTTGCAATGGCCACTTACGAGACATAGTAGTAGTACACCATTTCTGCAAATCGCGCCCTCTAATGACGAAAGTGGTGCTATGACGTAAATTTGTGAAACGCCTAACTCCGTTTAAAGCGTCGAAATCGTTCCGATCTGTAATAGTCCATCAATCAAACTTTTGAGAGATTATACTATATTCTAGGCGAAGAATGACTACACAACTCAACACATTGGTCGATTTTAACGACACTGCTTTCACCATACACGTCATTTTGACGTCACGGAAGCACTCCGTCGCGGGAGGGCGCGACTTATAAGACAAGTGCGTTAAATACTTTTCTTGTTCTTCTTTTCAATAGGTGAGACACCTTTACTGGAAGCTGCCAAGAACGGAGACAATAACATTTGCAGACATCTTGTAACTATCGGGAAAGCGGACTTGACCGCAAGAGACAAAGTAAACTACGGAACCGCTCAGGAGTATGCGATGGAGAGCGGACGCTGTCACACCCCCGATATACTGATGCTTTCGCCAGTAGCTCAAAGAAAGACAAAACTCAGGCGAGCTAGGGAGGCCCGAGGAAAGAAAATTTTGTCAGATTATGTGACCGAGACCCGGCATTACAACCATCAAGTGTCTGAGATTCATATGCCGTTAGAGTCCTGTCCCAAAAAGGATTTCGGATTTTTTGTTGTTAGTAAAAACGGATTAAGCGCGGAGGAGATGCAGGCAAAACGTAGCTTGTCTTTTCAAGTCGGGAGACATCTCATGGAACGTTTGACGGAGAAGCCAGATTTGGAAAAGCGCGAGGAACAAGAGATGGACGAGTATTTGACAATGAAAGTACAGTCAAGTTCGCTCCCTAACTTGGCTGACTTGAACCACGGATACGAAAAGTGGAAAAGAGGAGAAAGTCCCCTAAGTAAATCCTTTCCGTGTGGCGCCCCTGTTGAGCAGTGTGACTACTCCAGACCACGGGCATGGACGACAGGGAACGTTATATTACCTCCAGTAAAAACAACATCTACGAAACCAGGATCACCGCGCCCTGCTACAAGAATATCAACATCCCCCAAAACAATCGGACATTCATCCTCGCCTGACTCGCAGCGACAGAGAAGAACGGGGGTCGTTTCCAAATACGCGAACACACCGTGCTCTGGTACCCCTCGCAGCCCCACTGGAGGTCCACGCCTAACAAGTCCTGGAACAAGCCCGCCACGACCAATGAGAAAAATCAGCTTGCCGTCTCGACTACCGTGCATGCCAAGTGGTGCGAAAACTACGACGCCACCTAGCGCACCGCCGCCGAGGCAGCGGAAGATAAGCGCGCCTTCCATGTTACCAAAACGGATGCACAAAAACCCGCCGAATGCGATTCCCTCCTATATTTACAAGGAATGGTGAAAACACTTTTATAAAGTCACATTTAGCATCATTCTATAAGCTAAAATTCAATTTATATCACGAATATTATATTTAAGATTCATTTCGCGAATGTGCATAATCGATATCGTGGTGTACATAAGAAATAATTTTTCCGGTTAAAATGTGAGTGTCCCAACAGTAATGTACAGATATATTCAAAGTATTTTTATTTATTTGTTGGCGATATTAAGTTAATATCGTCATTGCATTTACAAAGTGTGTGATAACAATCTTGAAGACAGCGAAAAACATGTTTTAGAAAGCTTTTATCCATTTTTTTTAAATATTCACATATTCATAAACGTCTTGTACTTAATTAGGTTTCTACATTTAACGACAAACACTGAAATATTTGAAGTACGTGAAACAGAAATATATATATACTGTTCGAATTCGGATCCCTGGCAAGTCTGTTACCATGACATTTGTTTTATATTACTTCCGTAGCTATTTGATAATCAATAGACTAGTTGTGGGGTCCAGTGTCACGTGATAGAGTCAGTACGTCGTCAAACCCGCCATATTGTTTGTCCTAGTTTGTAGCCTTCATGTTTTATAATTAGATTTAAATATTACGATTTCCAACCAGCCCTGTAAATGAATGATGAATTTTGGGATACTGCAAACATCTGACACAATTATATTCTTTCGATGTCAGATCGAGTATGGAACCAAATTCTGAAGATCATCAGTAACGTCATTGATAAGAATGCCGCTTGTGTGTTACAGTGTTGTATTTCAAACGCATGTTTTCGCTGCAACAGTTACAATACGATCCCCTCACATACGGGTTACCAGTTTTGTATTATTTTAATCAAGAACATTGAAAGCGCCACAGTCGCCACGTTCCCCGCGTGCAAATCTCATGTAAATAAACGCTGTGTTTTACACGCGCCGTCCATTTCACGCCGCGGAACCCGTGACGGATACGACGCGGTGGCGCTTACACCAACACTTATGAAGATACTTGATATATAGCGAGCGATGAACACACGCATGTTACATTAAGCTCATTTGGGAGTATTTTGCCTATTGAATTACAATAATTATCATATTCGTTTATTACATAAATATTAATTTGGAACCAAGTCATCAACTTTTGTTTGTTTTAGTACAAAATATAAGAAACACTTTCCGAAAAAACGTAACACTTGTGGGAATATATGTCCACAAGAATCCAGAATAAGCATTATTTCATAAAAATACAAATATTTATCACCAACATTTAATAATTCATGACAACCATAAATACCCATCTTATAATCACATACGATTTGTAACCACGTTTGCGTTTTTTTTTTAAACTAGGTTTTTTTGTACAACATCATACAATGCAATCTCATTGTAAAGTCTGATGATATGTTTTGTTGGAAACCGGCGGAGAAAGGGGGCTTGTAATGAATTATAATAACATGAAAGTTATTCAATCGCCTGTTAAATTGTTTGCAAACTATTATTATATTTTGTCGTGCCAGTGCCAAACAAGTTTTCACTAATGTTCCGCCCAAAAGCCTGAACTTTGACCTTAAGTTTGTAAATGCATTTACTATATATTACATTGTATATTTCTCATTGAAGTGAACAAGTCAATCATTTTACTGTATATATTTATGTGTTATTTAATCTTAATAAATAAATATAAATAAACATATAGCGTTGTATTTTTATTTTTCATATACGGCGATACAGCTAATTGGACCACCTAGTCGTTAGGTTATTCATTCTCATTTATCCAGTAGACTAAGTATGCTCAACCAATTAAAATCAGTGTAATAACAACTTAAGAAGGACAGGACACTTGACGACATTACGCAGTGCGAGAAGAAAGAACGTTTGAAATATATTAGAGTTCAATATAAATGTATTATATGGCTAGGTCAGGCGTCCTATTTGCTGAAAAGCACCGTGTAAGAACAGTGTCCATTGTTATGCCGTGTTTATGTTTTCGCGGCTTTGAAAGTTATTGCTAATGGATTGCCACTTTTGTGAAAAATCTCCGTACAATATGTAAAAAAAAAAAAACTTGGTGAAAACCCAACGTCAAGTATGACCAGATAGATTATTTCAATAACACTATATGGTTTTCCCTTTCGGAATCCGAATCATGACATCCGAAAATATTTAACAATTATCGATTGTTAAAAGATGCAATATCATAGAGGATAAGACTTGGTTTAGAGAGTTTGTCTGTCTGCCCATCCGTCTGTGCGTCCGTCCGTTCGTGTGTCTTCAGCAGGATGACTAAAAAGAACGTTATGTACGAATTTACATGTAATTTTCGAGACAAACCAATCGACCAGAATTTTGGAAAAATAAGAATTCAGTTGACACAAAAATTAGAATTGTTGTTTTGTTTAACTCGAATCTTAATTAACAGTTACAGAAAACATAACACCTCAAACAAAAACAAATAAATCTATGTCAATACTTACAACTTTCGTGTTTTAATTTCCACAAATTGCAGATAGAGGGCGCGAGTGAAAAAAGTCAGGGATGTTTTCTTCAAATCAAAGCGAGGTCTTTACTAGACTCGTCACATCCGACAATGTACAACACACACTTACATAAGGTAAGGTTCATGTCAGGTTCGGCCACGTATGTGCAGTCGGTCCGGCGAACCATTTATTTAACAAAACATACTAATAAAGCCGACTAAAAACGGCTGCCATTACATTGCATGTAGTGTTCAAATTTTAATAAAACTAAATGAGAGAAAAAATAACTTACATGAACTGCAAAAAAGATCGACTATTGATGCTCGAAATCAACATTACTCGGTTAAAGAAACATTTAAAATAACTGACAAAAAACATCGACAAAATAGTAACCCCCGTTACTGGCACGCCGACCGCCCAGGAAAAACCAGGAATAAAAAACCCTTTGAGGAAAAAATACCTGGAAACCTGTACCCGTCGCACTGTCGATCGTGCCCAGGGGAAGGTGGCGGGTGTCGCCCTGTATTGTACAACAAACTTACAAAACAACAAGTTGAAAACTGCACTGTAGCGAGACTGGCCTAGATTGACATTCAACCTTTTGTCCTCCACTTAAATACCCCTTGTCACATGACCCCACATACCATACCCGTCTGTTTGCCATCTCGAACAGACAATAGTTACCCGCTATACTGCGAAACGCGGTTAACAATATATACAAGAGAACTGGTGATGGTTGTAGAACCATAACTGCCTCAGCTCAAAGATTGTTATGTAATACAAGGGAATGTGAAGGGAAATGTATTGTAGTGTTACCTCTG